CAGCAGCCAGGCTCCACCAGCAGCCTCCACGCCCAGCAGCCAGGCTCCACCATCAGCCACCAGGCCCAGCAGCCAGCCTCCACCATCACCTCAATACCAGCCACCTGATCCAACCATCAGGCTCAGCCTGGGGCTCCAGGCTCCAGATTCACCAGCAACCAGGACTGAGAGAGAGGTAAGCCTAATACAATGGCCCCTCCAAGAAAAACGGAGAAACTCGAGGAAGATATGGAGGAAATTAAAAAATCATTGAATTTTATGTCAGCCGAGCTGTCTAAGCTAACAGTACAACAGGATCAACTACTGTCATTAATGGATGAGGTCAAGACACTGAAATTCAAGCTTGCAGAAAAGGACAAGAAGATCATGGTATTGGAACAGAGGGTGGATGAACTGGAGCAGTATACCAGAAGAGATGACTTGGTGATAACTGGTTTGGAAACAAGACGTAGGACTTATGCCAGAGTTACTGGAGATAGAAACACAACTGAGGATGCTCCACAGGAAGAACTCCAGTCACTAGAACAACAAGTGTTGAGCTTCTCGCACAGTAAGAACATTCATATCCAAAGTGATGCAATATCAATCTGTCATACCCTTCCGAGAAAGGCAGACAAATTAAAACCAGTCATCATAGTGCGATTTACCAGTAGGAAGTACAGAAATGAGTGTTTGAGGCAAGCAAAAAACTGAAAGGTACAAATGTGTGCATAAATGAACACCTGACGAAAAAGAATGAAACAATAGCCAAAGAAGCAAGGGTGCTGAGAAAACAAAAAAATATCACAGCCACGTGGACGAGAAATGGTGTTGTATGGATCAGAGAGCAAGAAGGTCTGAATGCAAAAATGATCAAAGAGTTGAAAGATCTGGAAGTGTTGCAGGGTAAAAGATGATTTATTGTGTAGCACTGACTAAATAATGGATAGTGGAAACAGTTTAACTATGGATATGGAAGTACAAATGAATTCATAAAGAATAAATGGATTCCCATGAGAAAATATATGAACTTGACAGTAAAATAGATGAAAGTTTATTTGAGTTAAATATAAATAGTGATTATTATGCAGAAGATCAGCTAAATAGTGCGTTAATTAACAATGATTCATTATCAATCATACACATAAACAGTAGAAGTTTAGTTTCCAAGTTATCAACAATAAAGGACTATTTAGGTAAATTTAAAAATAAATTCAAAGTCATTGCCATTACCGAGACTTGGCTTTATGATGAAAGGATGACTGAAGTACAAATAGAAGGGTATGAACTTCATTTTGTAAATAGAATAAATAAAAGGGGTGGTGGCGTTGCCCTGTACATTAACAATGATTTAAAATGTAAATTAGATAAGAAAATGACTATGATGGAAGATAACGTTATGGAAATGGTAACAGTGGAAATTACCAATGACACATCAAAAAAATGTAATAATCAGTTGTGTATATAGAGCACCCGGTTCTTGCATCAGGTCATTTACAGATAAAATAAATGAGTTTGTGGATCATATTAAAAACAAAACATTGTTTATGTGTGGGGACTTTAACATTAACTTAGAACATCCTGTGGATCAGAGAACATCAAGTTATTTTTTTGATATGATCTATAGTTTAGGTTTGGTTCCTTTGATAAACAAACCTACCAGGATCACAACCCAAAGTGCAACAATAATTGATAATATATTCACTAATAGAAAGGAGGACGTTGTTCAAACTGGGATATTGATGACAGATATTAGTGATCATTTACCTATTTTTGTAGTGTCTAAATATCACAATAACAATAAAAATATCATAAAACACAATTGTACTAATTATAAAAGAAATAAATCAGTTAAAGCCCTGGAGGACCTAAATAAAGATCTTAAAATGCAGAACTGGATGGAAGTCTATGTCAGTGATGTGAACAATGCATATACATCCTTCATGAAAATACTGCTGAAATCGTTTAACAGTAGTTGTAAATTAATTAAAATAACAGGTAAAAGGGACAACCAACCATGGATGACTAACGGAATTAAAAATGCATGTGCAAAAAAAAAAGTCTGTATAAGAGATTCTTAAATTTACAAACAAAGGAAGCCGAAGACAGATATAAAAAATATAAAAATAAATTAGTAACAATAATTAGGAAACAGAAGAAAGAGTACTATGGTGAGCTATTGAATAAGAACAACGACAACATCAAGACTACATGGGGAATAATAAATGATGTGATTAACAGAGATAATACAAATGCAAGACTCCTAAACTACTTTGTAAAGGACAATAAAGACATTTATGAAGTTAACGAAATTTCTAATGAATTCAATGATTTTTTTTATAAATGTAGGAAGGAGTCTGGTGGAAAGCAAACCAATAATTCACGATACAATGAATACAATACCTAGAAATGTCAAAAGTATTCTGCTTGACAAAGTAGATCAACAAGAAATAAGAAACATTGTAAAAAAACTGGGGAAGCAAAAGATCAACTGATTGTGATGATCTGGACATGGTGACTGTAAAAGCTATAATTGAATCTGTTATTGAACCATTCACTTACATCTGTAATCTGTCACTATCTACAGGAGTCTTCCCTGATTTAATGAAAATTGCCAAGGTGGTTCCATTATTTAAGAGCGGTGATAAACAGAGTTTCACTAATTACAGGCCAGTGTCACTGCTTCCACAGTTCTCCAAAATATTAGAAAAAGTGTTTGCATTAAGGTTGGACAAATTCATTGACAAATTTTCAATTTTAAAACATGAACAGTATGGCTTTAGGGCCAAACATTCAACAGCAATGGCAGTTATGGATTTAGTAGATAGAATTTCATCAGCAATTGACAATAAAAACCATTTCATTAGTGTTTTTATTGACTTAAAAAAGGCATTTGATGTCACGGATCATTCATGGTTACTTCTTAAATTACACCGGTATGGAATAAGAGGGGTGGCGCTTCAATGGGTTAATAGTTATTTACGCAATAGAAAACAGTTTGTTCAAATAAATAATGCAAAATCTGAATTAAAAGATATTTATTATGGTGTGCCACAAGGGTCAGTCCTCGGACCTAAACTGTTCATATTGTTTATTAATGACCTGGTAAATGTATCTAATTTTCTTGGCACAGTTTTATTTGCGGATGATACTACATTGTTTTATTCAGGATTAAATATACATGAAGTAACTCAAGTGATAAACAGTGAATTGATTAAAGTTAAAAAATGGTCTGATATAAATAGACTGTCACTGAACCTGAACAAAACAAACTATATACTGTTTAATAACAGAAGAAGCTGTGATGTATCTTTAATGATAGATGGAATGGAAATTCAAAGGGTAAAAGAAACCAAATTTCTTGGAGTCCTGTTCGATGAGAGTTTCACGTGGAAATCGCATGTAGGTTATATAAATGGGAAAATTGCCAAAGCCATAGGGGTATTATATAGAGTCAAGTTTCTACTAAATTTGTCGGGGTTGTTAACATTCTATCACTCACTGATTGAACCATATTTATTTTATTGTTTAGAAATTTGGGGAGCCACTTGCAAAACTTTTACACAACCATTGTTCATTTTGCAAAAAAGAGCACAAAGAATCATTAATAACAGTAACTATAGAGATCACACTAATCAGTTATTCATTAGATACAAAATACTGAAATTTCCTGACTTGGCCGAGTGGAAAATATTGCAAATAATATACAGAGCGAATACAAGTAATCTACCAACTAATATTCAGAAAATGTTTCATAAGAGAGTAAGTGGGTACACGTTAAAAGGAACTGATGTCTAAGAAACCTAGATTCAGAACCAAAGTGAGGGAATATAACATTTCTGTAAATGGTGTAAGATCGTGGAATGCCATTAACAAGGAATTTAAAGAATCAACTACACTTGCAATATTTAAAAAATGTATAAAATCTAATGTATTTAGTAATTATGAAAAGGAGAATTATAATGTCAAAGATTAGACATGAAAATATTAGAAAGTGACTGAGGTTACACTGTGTTTGTTTGGCGGATGGTTTTATTTCGTAAAAAGGGGCAGAAATCGTAAGATTTTCTCTTCTATCTGCTCCTTTTCATTCAAATGTTTTTTTTCTTCCAATATGCTAATGTATGTTGTATTTGTTTGTGTTTATTTTATTCATTGTGAATGACATAAAAGATTAAAAAAAACTGTTCAAACCAATAGGTCTAAACACATCAATGACTCATCAGGGAGTAGGGAGGGGTATTCATGGGTAGTTTCAGCTCATTAAGAAACAAAAACCAGGTGCAGTTTATACATCAGAGTGACTCTCATGTTCCAGTCAGAACTGACAAACTCCTGGGATGAGAAGCGAAACATCTTCGAGACACCAACAAAGTCTAGTTGCCTTCATTCGAGCTACTTCGGATCAGATAAAAATCTTACACATGATGGGAATCTGTGAGATGTTTCCTGTTGAGGCTTCTGGCTGAAGGGTTAACATTTACATCAGAGCAGCAATTTCATACGAGGTTCTAAACCTTCATTCATCCACTTTCTTTGATACACTCATGGTTTTTAAGAGTTTTAGAGTCCCTCTTGTATTCAAAGTATTACATCCAGAAAATAATATATTCTGAAAAAGGTTTCAAAAAGTGGGGATTTTTTTCTCTTTTTTACTTTTTTTTACATTTCAACGATATTTAAATGTTCAAAATCAGTTTAACGTGTTCATGATCATTTAAAAGTATTTAACCATTTATAAATGACTGGTGCGTCATAATTCTACATATAACTGATGACGACTTTAGAAAGTTAGATATATTCTATATGACCAGATGTGTTGATGAGCATTTGTAAAGATTTAATTCATCATAATTTAAGCATTAATGTCAACTTAAGCTTTAATAAATTAGTTATATAGATTATCTAAGACCTTGCAAATGATCTGTTAACAACTTATGAATGTTTAATAACAACACATTCTAAAGTGTTGACAAACTACAGTAACTACATTTTAGCCAAGTAAAATAAGCAGATTTTACCTGCCAGTCCTCTACGGTTCCAGATTTTCACGGCTTTTCCTGTGAAGAAACCTCGATTCAGTGCCTCCACATTCAGCTGTAGTTCATGCTGTCCGGTTAATGTGTGACTGGAAGCACAGCTCCACCTCTAAGAAAGGCTTCAGTCTGTCTGCAAAAGATGATCTCTGACCCAAGCTGTCACAAGACATCAGGTCTTACAAGGTGTTTGATAAAACGGACCCACTGGCAGGCAAGGCTGGGATGTAAAAGTGAGGATGAGAAATCATAAAGGTCTTTTCGTTAAAGCAAAGGAGCAATATTTTTGTGACGGAAATAAAATTAGTAAAAATATGCATGACTTTCTCTGCATGTGGTCATGCTGAAATTCCTGAAACTTATGAAAAAATGTATATATATACACTCAGCAAAAATATAAACGCAACACTTTTGTTTCTGCTCTGATTTTTCATGAGATGGACTTAAAGATCTAAAATTCATTCCAGATACACAACATTACCATTTCTCTCAAACATTGTTCACCAATCAGTCTAAATGTGTGATAGTGAGCACTTCTGCTTCGGTGAAATAATCCATCCCACCTCACCGGTGTGCCACATCAAGATGCTGATCCGACATCATGAGTAGTGCACAGGTGTACCTTATACTGCCCACAATAAAAGGCCACCCTGGAATGTGCAGTTTTGTCTCACAGCAAAATGCCACAGATACCACAAACATTCTGGGAGCATGCAATTTGCATGCTAACAGTAGAAATGTCAACCAGTTCTGTTGCTCATGCATTGAATGTTCATTTCTCCACCATAAGCCGTCTTCAAAGGCGTTTCAGAGAATATGGCAGTACATCCAACCGGCCTCACAACTGCAGACGACGTGTAACCACACCAGCCCAGGACCTCCACATCCAGCAGGTTCACCTCCAAGATCGTCTGAGACCAGCCACTCAGACAGCTGCTGAAACAACTGGTTTGCCTAACCAAACAATTTATGCACAAACTGTCAGAAACCATCTCAGGGAAGCTCAACTGCATGCCCGTCGACCTCATCGGGGTCTTGACCTGACTCCAGCTCGTCGCCGTAACAGACTTGAGTGGGCAAATGCTCACATTCGATGGTGGCACGTTGGAGAGGTGTTCTTTTCACGGATGAATCTCGGTTTACATTGTTCAGGGCAGATGGCAGACAGCGTGTGTGGCGTCGTGTGGGTGAGCGCTTTGCTGATACCAATGTTGTGGATCGAGTGGCCCATGGTGGTGGTGGGGTTATGGTATGGGCAGGCATCTGTTATGGATGAAGAACACAGGTGCATTTTATTGATGGCATTTTGAATGCACAGAGATTTCGTGATGAGATCCTGAGGCCCATTGTTGTGCCGTACATACATGAACATCACCTCATGTTTCAGCAAGATAATGCACGGCCCCATGTTGCAAGGATCTGTACACAATTCTTGGAAGCTGAAAATGCCCCAGCTCTTGCATGGCCAGCATACTCACCGGGCATGTTTGGGATGTGCCTGACCGGCGTAAACGACAGCGTGTACCAGTTTCCACTAATATCCAACAACTTCGCACAGCCATTGAAGAGGAGTGGACCAACATTCCACAGGCCACAATTGACAATCTGATGAACTCTATGCAAAGAAGATGTGTTGCACTGTGTGGGGCAAATGGTGGTCACACCAGATACTGACCGGTTCTGAGTCCCCAGACTCCCAAAAAAGCAAAAAACTGCACATTCCAGGGTGGCCTTTTATTGTGGGCAGTATAAGGTACACCTGTGCACTACTCATGATGTCATATCAGCATCTTGATGTGGCACACCTGTGAGGTGGGATGGATTGTCTCAGCAAAGCACAGGTGCTCACTATCACACATTTAGACATGTGAACAATGTTTGAGAGAAATGGTAATATTGTGTATCTGGAATGAATTTTAGATCTTTAAGTCCATCTCATGATAAATCGGAGCAGAAACAAAGGTGTTACGTTTATATTTTTGTTGAGTATATATATATACATATATGTATATATATATTTTTTCTTTTTTACAGAAATTTGATGTCTTTATGGGACCACAGCCTATGTCTCTCTCTCTCTCTCTCTCTCTCTCTCTCTCTCTCTCTCTCTCTCTCTCTCTCTCTCTCTCTCTCTCTCTCTCTCTCCCTCACACACACACACACACACACACACACACACCTGGCACAGTACCTGGTGGAGTACCTGATGTAGTACCTGGTGGAGTGGAGTACCTGGTGGAGTACCTGATGCAGTACCTGGTGGAGTGGAGTAACTGGTGGAGTATCTGGCCTAGTACCTGGTGGAGTACCTGATGTAGTACCTGGTGGAGTGAAGTACCTGGTGGAGTACCTTATGCAGTACCTGGTGGAGTACCTGGTGAAGTGGAGTACCTGGTGGAGTACCTGATGCAGTACCTGGTGGAGTGGAGTACCTGTTGGAGTACCTTATGCAGTACCTGGTGGAGTACCTGGTGGAGTCTTCCAGACTTCAAGGTAAATTCAAACCTTCACCATGTTCACTTGAGTATTTTATAGTGCATTATTTTTCACTTACCCTTTTAAATACAACTTGCTTGAACAATGAAATAGTTGTCAGAAATGTCCCTTTGAACAATTTTCTTTTTCAAATATTTTCCAATTTTGAATTTCTCAAATGTTTCATGTTTTCGTTTTTTTTAAACAAAGAAAATGTAAAATATATGGAAGCCTATTCCCACCTATCAAAAATAGAAATGAAAACAAATCCTCATGGCAAGTCATGATAATGAGATCTTTTGAAAACAAAAAGTTTTTAAAAGTCATAATCATTCAGTTCAATTTTTTAGGCTCCTTTTGTGATACACAAATTATATTTTGTGCAGTGGTTGGCTTGACGACATTTTCTGTACTTGTTCATGCAAAAACAACAACTGTTGAGCACGATCGTGTGACGTACTAATATGTAAAAAAACAAGCAATCACAGAACTAAAACACTAAGATCGTCTGTCTCCTCCACTCTCCTTTCTCGTCCTTTTTTCCCACTGTCCTCTCCTTGTCCTTGTCCTGTCCCCCTCCCTGTATGCCACATCTGTAATATTCAGTGTTTCCAATAAGGAAAGACAGAAAATAAAGTGAAGAAATCAGATTTACTACAGGTTGTGACTAAAGGCGATTGCAAACTTCAGCTCTTATTGAAGTATGGATATTTTTGACACTAGTCTTTAACTATGCACCTGAAAATGGGTCCACATATATTTTACAGGGTATCAGCCTCAGAGAGGCAGCTCGAGAGGACCTGGCTGAACAAGTTCTGAGGATCGGTGTCGACCACACAAGTGAAGATTAAGGTGCATCCAACGCTGATGTGTCGATTGTTGTTGAAGGGCTGAGGTATTTGACAACTGTGGAAGAGTTCTCCTGCTGATGGACATCATTTATGCCATGAACTTGAGTTACCCACTGAAATGAAAGTACACCTCTGAAGTGTTCCAGAAGGTTCCCTTAAAGTCCTTAAGCTATCTCCGAAGATCCTGTCCCTGTGAAACAAGTGTGCATGTTTGACACTAGAGTTGTCCTTTAAAAGAGGGCTCTGAAAGAAAACTACGGCACATTTGTTAATGTGGGGCGACGGTGGCACAGGAGTTAAGTGCTCATCTCATAATCGGAAGGTTGCAGGTTCGAGCCCCACTCAGTCTGTCGCTGTCGGTGCGTCCTTGGGCAAGACACTTACTCCACCATGCACCCTGGTGGTGTTTGGAGGGACTGGTGGCATCTGTGTGCCCCAGGGCAGCTGTGGTTACAATGCAGACATGTGTATTTCTGTTAATAATTTGGCTATGCTAATTCAATTTATCAAATTTTTTGGGAGGATGTGTATTTTTGAGGGAATAACCAAAAAATAAAAAAATTTAAAAAATCCCCTACTCCCTTTAATATAATGCTGAAATTATTTTTGTAGCGTTGAGCATCTTTCTGTTTTTGGCTCCATTGACTCTCATGTAAATCATTATTTCCTAATAATCTTAAATATTAGCATTTTTTTCCCGTTAATATTCTGTCTGGGTTCCTAGACCAGTCACAAATTCAATGTTTAGTTTTTACTGTTTTCCACTTGATTGCACATTTTCTCCATATATAGCAGAACAATGACTGACACTGCATTTACATCAAAGGATTCTGCTATATTTCTTTACCTCTGACTGCACAATACAGGTCCTTCTCAAAAAATTAGCATATTGTGATAAAGTTCATTATTGTCTGTAATGTACTGATAAACATTAGACCTTCATATATATTAGATTCATTACACACAACTGAAGTAGTTCAAGCCTTTTATTGTTTCTAATATTGATGATTTTGGCGTACAGCTCATGAAAACCCAAAACTCCTATCTCAAAAAATTAGCATATTTCATCCGACCAATAAAAGAAAAGTGTTTTTAATACAAAAAAGTCAACCTTCAAATAATTATGTTCAGTGATGCACTCAATACTTGGTCGGGAATCCTTTTGCAGAAATGACTGCTTCAATGCGGCGTGGCATGGAGGCAATCAGCCTGTGGCACTGCTGAGGTGTTATGGAGGCCCAGGATGCTTCGATAGCGGCCTTAAGCTCATCCGAGTGTTGGGTCTGGCGTCTCTCAGCTTTCTCTTCACAATATCCCACAGGTTCTCTACGGGGTTCAGGTCAGGAGAGTTGGCAGGCCAATTGAGCCCACTAATACCATGGTCAGTAAACCATTTACCAGTGGTGTTGGAACTGTGAGCAGGTGCCAGGTAGTGCTGAAAGATGAAATCATCATCTCCATAAAGCTTTTCAGCAGATGGAAGCATGAAGTGCTCCAAAATCTCCTGATAGCTCGCTGCATTGACCCTGCCCTTGATAAAACACAGTGGACCAACACCAGCAGCTGACATGGCGCCCCAGACCATCACTGACTGTGGGTACTTGACACTGGACTTCAGGCATGTTGGCATTTCCCTCTGCCCAGTCTTCCTCCAGACTCTGGCACCTTGATTTCCAAATGACATGCAAAATTTGCTTTCATCCAAAAAAAGTACTTTGGACCACTGATAACAGTCCAGTGCTGCTTCTCTGTAGCCCAGGTCAGGCGCTTCTGCCGCTGTTTCTGGTTCACAAGTGGCTTGACCTGGGGAATGCGGCACCTGTAGCCCATTTCCTGCACACGCCTGTACACGGAGGCTCTGGGTGTTTCTACTCCAGACTCAGTCCACTGCTTCCGCAGGTCCCCCAAGGTCTGGAATCGGTTCTTCTACACAATCTTCCTCAGGGTCCAGTCACCTCTTCTCGTTGTGCAGCGTTTTCTGCCACACTTGTTCCTTCCCACAGACTTCCCACTGAGGTGCCTTGATACAGCACTCTGGGAACAGCCTATTCGTTCAGAAATGTCTTTCTGTGTCTTACCCTCTTGCTTGAGGGTGTCAATGATGGCCTTCTGGAAAGCAATCAGGTCGGCAGTCTTACTCATGATTGCGGTTCTGAGTAATGAACCAGGCTGGGAGTTTTTAAAAGCCTCAGGAATCTTTTGCAGGTGTTTAGAGTTAATTAGTTGATTCAGATGATTAGGTTAATAGCTCGTTTAGAGAACCTTTTCATGATATGTTGATTTTTTGAGATAGGAATGTTGGGTTTTCATGAGCTGTACGCCAAAATCATCAATATTAGAAACAATAAAAGGATTGAACTACTTCAGTTGTGTGTAATGAATCTAATATATATGAAAGTCTAACGTTTATCAGTACATTACAGACAATAATGAACTTTATCACAATATGCTAATTTTTTGAGAAGGACCTGTATAATACATATTTGGCAGAAATAAATGAATGGTTTGTGTGTTATTTAGAGATGCCATACAAAACTTTGTATGTGTCTCTCTGTGTGTATTTGGGCAGGCATGCATGTAGGGATCAACGCACTGGAAAGGCTGGAAAACTTCAAAGGCGTAAATTTGTTTTGTAAAACAAATACCTGCAAAGCTGAGTTTGTTTACATGAAGTTGGAGTCAGTTTACACCGGCGCACCACCTGTCAAAAAGTACGAGACTCAGATCAGGATTCATTTCTTTCTGCCGCAAGAATGAGAGGAAGTTTTAATATTGACACTTTTACCCCGGGGCCTGATTCAGAGGAAGGAAATGGAGACGATTCAGACGAGCTGCACGAGAGGAGGAGGGAGGTTCTGTCATCCCTCTTCACCTCCACCACCACCGCGGTGAGCTAACTGCCGAAGGGCAGACGGAACGTTCTCCTCAGCACCAAACATCATCAGGATGAGATCCAGCAGGAAAGCAGCAGAAGCTCACCGTAATCCTGGATTACAACAGCTGCAAAGGGGCCACATTTTTCTGTCAAATGTGTCTTCATAAATCACAAAGTTTACTCGGAAAAGGACACACACACTTGTCAGACCTCGTTTTAAGCATAGTCAAGTGAAAAGCTGGTAAGTAGGGGTGTAACAATTCACGACGTTGTGTTGAATCGTTTCAGTTCGGCTCGTTTGGTTCGATCCACTTGCGTACCTTTTTGATTTATATTGACTGTTAAGTAACTAATTTTTATTTGCATGATTTAAGTGCAGCGGATAAAAGTTCCTAGGCGAGTTTCCGCACGGACGCTGTATTGAGTGACGCATGATGGCTGCACGCGCCCGATCTCCATCTTCAAATTCTGATCAACAGCTTTCAGAGCGGATCAAACAAACTGGCTGTCGCTGCTGCCGGAGCCCGTAGAGATGCTCACACACACAACCTGCGAAATAATTAAAGGCCTCATGTTGGATCAGCAGCCTGTGATGACATCTGCTTCTGCTCACTACAGGAGCCGCTTCAGATATTAAATAAATATAATAATGTACAGAAAATTAATCGAACCGAGCTCTTCAAAACAGTGAAATGAACCGAATACGATTTTAGCGTTACACCCCTACTGGTGAGAAGGCATAACTTTGACTCTGCTGCTAAAAAGAAGAAGAAATACGTAATTCTACAAGTTTATAAATAAGTTTTATTTTTCATTCATGCAAATCCATTCATTGCTTGTTTACTAAGTTCCTCTTTTACATTTTCTCTGTCAGAAGTAGCATGAGTCCATTTAAAATGTCTACATGTTGCATTACAATGTGGCAAACAGAATGTTTTCATATGGAAAATATTTTTAAACGCTTATATGACACTATTCAGTCTGAACTGATATTGCATTAGTATAAAAAACCGGGCCACCAGCAAAGTATGAAAACATGGCAGCAACTCCAACACTCCCATGGTTTGGTTGCAGACGTGTCGGTCACATTGTTCTTGGACTAAATGGACATTATGCATGCACCACCAGTAAACTTCAGGTTGGAGTCAGTAAATGGGGCTCCTTTTCAGCCTCTGGCTACACAACAAATCATAGACAGTCTGTAGGGTCAGCATGCCCAAAAGAAGACCAAAAAAGGATTAGTCTAACCAAAGCTCAGAATCCAACAGTCTCAAAATAACCCTGCTGCAGGAGCCTCATCCGCAGAGATCTTACAGTACTTTGGAACACGAGACCTGAAGTCACTGACTAGACTAATCACTCAAGTCTTGTTTTTCACATTAAAATCAACATTTGATTCAACTTGCGTCCCTCTAAACATCCCTAGCCATGACAAGAGTTAACACTGATAATGTAGTTATGCATAAAAATTTGCCTTATTACTTCTAAACTGCTCATTACTAGCGCTCTGAAGCTGAACACACACAAACCGTTTCAGGTGGAGCAAAGAGCTGTGATGTCACAAAGACTGGACAAACGGAGTTGAACCTGCATCGGCTGACCACGTTCGTCTACTGCCAGATGATGTGATGATTTCATAACCGTACGGCATTTTTTGCATCTCTGTTGTTAACCAAAAATGTGCTAATTGCTTTTCTGCTTGTATGGGATTAAATTCATATGCTCCCACCTGAAGAGCTATTGTTTAATCTTAGAATAGCAAACATGTATTTTACTTCTTGTTTAACGGAGTAAGTATCTTTCCTTCCTCCAGTCAAAGGGAAGCAGTGTTGAAAAATGACTACTTAAAATAATCTCCAAAACACCTTATCAGTGTAACGGAAACCCCAAAGCTGTTCATTAGAAACATGATGCCGTGTATGCATGGCATTGATGTACTGTTAAAACACCAGCAGCTGCCATTTCCAGATGTTCTCTGATGACTCGGCCAGCTGTGTGTCTGAGGGGAACGACCAGGAGCACAGGTCAGTCATCATGGACTTTGTGGACTGGTGTGAGCATAACCACTTTTGCTTGAACACCAGTAAGACAAGGGAAACGGTGACCAACTTCCAGAGAAACACTCCACTCACTGTTAAGCATCCAGGGAGCAGACATTGAGGTGGTGGTACCTGGGTGTTCACCTCAACATCAAACTGAACTAGTCCAACAACACAGATGCTTTATATAGGAAGAGCCAAAGCGCCTCCACCTCCTGAGGAGACTGAGGTCCTTCAGAGTTAATTCCCATCTGCAAAAATCCTTTTAGCACTCTGTCGGCTCTGCTGTGGTCTGTTGGGGTGCAGGCAGCTCTGACCGAGACTCAAAGAGACTGAACAAGCCAGTTCACAAAGCTAGCTCGCTTCTGGGCTGCCAACTAAATTCAGCTGAGACTTGTGAAAGGAGGATACTGGGCTGCATGGTGGAGCAGTTGTTACCTCTGATACCTTGCAGCAAGAAGGTTGCAGGTTCGAAAACCAGCTGCAGTCTTTCTGTGTGGAGTTGCATGTTTTCCCCATGCATGCATGGGTTTACGCAATCAGCCAAATAAATAAACATAAACACGCTGAGACATCCCAGAACAGAACGCGACCGTAGGTCATTCATCCCCTCTGCAGTAAGAGTGTTTAACTCCTCAGTTTAACTGGTACTGGCATTATCCTGGTACACAATACCACCAATGCAATACTCGGTATGTGTTCAATGCTCGTGCAATACCGGATTTTGGTTTATTCGTTCCAAAGTTAGCAGCTCTAAGCAACTATCCTATTAATATGGGAAACTAAGGCTAAATAGGTTCAACATATAAATGGTGTAAATGCCATTTCCTGCCTTCTGGTGCATTCACACAGGTTGTTACACCTATTTCACCTACAGTAGTGAAACCTTAACTCAGTAACTATTGTTCACCACAAACTTCCAGCTGTTTAATGCAGAAAATGCTAAAACACTAAAAAATAGAAATTTCCAATAAAATGTTAGTTTTATTCTTGTTGATGTTCCGACACCTCTGCCTAACCGGATGCCTGAGCCTCCTCACCCGACTCCTCTTGATGGCCAAGCACCCAAGGGAGAGCCCGGACACCCTGCGGAGAAAAGAAATTTCAGCCGCTTGTATCCGCCATCTTATTTTTACGGTCTCTACCCAAAGCTGGTGCTGCCCTTCTAGCCTCTGTAGGCTCCTTGCCTGCTAGTGGTGGTAGCAGCAATAGGCGGTGCCAATGCCCCTCAGCCTTGCTTCTGTCAGTGAGCCCCCAACGCAGCTGTGACTGTAATGTACGCAAGTTAATTATACTGGCACTTTCTTGGGTAAAAACACAAAGCGGTTCATGACAAAATGATAGACATACAAGACCAGAGTAGGAGGAACAGAATAAATGAAAAGAAAATGTGGCTAAAACTAACAGTGAAAGAAAGAAAACCAAAAGTTACAAGGTTTTAAAAGCAAGATTAAAAAAAACAGAGAATCTGCACAAAGCAAGGATGGGGAGAGCATTTCACAGTCGCGGGGCCACTGCTTTAAGGGTTTTAGGGACAGGCAGAAGAATCTCCTAAAGCTAACCCTCTCTCTGTTTGTTGAATGGGGAACAGATTTGCAAAAAGTCACCCAAGTAGGGGGGCGCTTGCTCTTGAAAGCCTACAGTATATACACCTTAACCAGGATTTTAAACCGAACCCTAAACTCTGGGTGCCAGAGAAGATGGGACAAGACCGGAGTAAGGTGGAGCCACTTGTAGCAGAGTTTTGCACTAGCATCCGTTCACACCAGCGTGTGAAGGTGCTTTTCAAATATTGTGTTGAAAAGCGCCTCGGGGAGTTCTTGCACTCTGCTCTATAAATAACCATTTGGTTGACTTTGGGATGCATTGAGTGAAATTCTCTGGCATACAGTTAACAATGACTTTCGAAGCCCTTCACATGTATTAAGAAGTTTCTGACACATGAACTATAAACTAGGATTAGATTTGAGCGCAGCAGCTCTTTGTCAGACCTGTGGTGGTTTTCATTGGTCTGACGGAGCATTCAACCCTTTTCAGACACATTACACACCGGTCATGGGCCCTAACATGTCAGAGTCCAACTTTCGGAGTTGTTGTAACTTCAACTGAAGCTTTAGAAGTGAGAGGAGACATTCAGCATTTTACACATGAAAATTCACACAGTTTGAGGCTCTTTAGGTGTCCATCATTGTCCATTCTCCTTCGTCTTCAAATCCTCGTAAGTTCTCCTTTGCTCCATCACTTCTTTGTATTTTTTGCATGTTGTGGACTGTTTATAATAAAATGAAATAAACAAAACTTTTTTGGGCCAAAACAAGTAACCTATGGTACAGCATATAATCTGATATTTTATTTACAAAGATTTTCTGAGCATTCCAAACAACCTGCGCTGCAAATCCTGTAGAGCTGTTGAGGTGATGGTCTGAAGGAAGGTGGCTCAAGGAAGGTGTGTCGAGCTTTCTAAATCAGGAAGTTCAGCGCATGAATGCGTCGTTTGGAGGAATAAGTTCTCCGAAAAAGATGCAAGATATGTGTCGTGAGACAAGCAGAGGGCTCGTGGCAGCAGACTGCCATGATGTGGAGACCTTGTGAATGTATTGAGTCTATTGCTCCAAGAATGGCTCAGTTGAGCTGATCCTCGTATTGTTTCCTGAAACAGTCACCAGCCGGGAAGAATTCCCAGCAGCGCTCTTGGTACATCTTCCATACGTAAGACTCCTGCAAGAAAGCAAAAGCAGGAGGGAGAGAGGGGTCATTACACATGTCTATCCAACTAAATTCTGCTGATCTATACTTTCTTATTCGTCAGTGATCCAGTACATGTGACACGTGTTGGTTTCAACCAGTTCCAGCATCCATGCTGAACCAAACCTATCCAGTCCAAACTCCTGATGCTAAAAAGTGGTTCGGTGAGTTTCTGATCAATTTCTCTGTTGAACCTTGCTTGCAATGTTAATCAGTGTTCATGTCAACTTTAAAAGTTCTGTTTCACTGGCCTCATCACAAACTCTGACCAACACGGACAACAGGACAGCGTCCAGAAGGAGAAATTGAAACGTTTACTCTTCCTGCTTTTGTGGAAAATTAACGAGCAACGAAAAATCACACTAGCTGATACCAGCAGTCAGCACAGTGGTGGAGGGCTGATGGTTTGGGTCCTTGAAGTCACTGAGTGCTAAAGTATTGTGAGTCCATCTGTCCAGCATCTTATCTAAGACCAAACAGGACAACCATCCAAACGCTGCAGCAGGTACATAGGAAGTTGGTTTTCCGGAGAGTTGGGCAGTTAGACAAGTGAGTAGGTAGGTGGGTGGGTTACCTGGCCTGTGTGCTCTGTTTCATCTTTGTTGATGAGATACATCAAAAAGAATCTGAAACAAACAAACAAACAAACAAACATTTTTTAGAGACAACAACAGTATCACATGGTTAAATCACAAGCCTCATTCCCGGTGGATGGTTTGATCCCAGGCTATGTCTGTCATCTGCTGTTGTGTCCATGAGCAAGACACCTCACCACCTTGCCTGTGTGGCAGTGAGCCCCAGAGCAGCTGTGCCTGCATCTCAGCGTCTGGCCATCATGTGTGTACGATTGTAATGTAAAAGCTATTTTCCACTCACAGTTCTGCTCGTTGTGTGAACACGGGGATGTTCAGGATTAGATAAGTGCATTAACAGAGCTAGATTATAGAAAATAAAGAGAAAACAAGTTTGAGATGGCAAGTCTCCACATTCCAGTTCACTGAAAATGAAACTTTAGCTGAGGATTTTATCTGCACTTGCAAACTTTAATCCTCCAGTTTTAGTCTCACACACCAAAGCAATAGTATTAGTTTATTTTTCATCGCTAATAATGACGGACTAAACATCTGTCTGCTTTTGTTGTTTGATAAGTAAAGCAGCTGTCGCGAGACCCAAGCTGTTCCCTTCTCCTCCTCGGTGAAGACCTGCTCTTACGGTCTGGCGTTTAACCCTGGGGGTCAGCTCTGGCTGACATTTTACTCTGGAATTATGTTTGTTGATCTGACCTGTTTGATTTTATTATTGTACAGCACTTTGGTGGCATGCTTCACACCTGTAAGGTGCTTTCTAAATAATGTTGAGTTGAGTTCAAATACCCAGTTTATGGGAGCTGCCATGGGGCTTTTTTGGAACCAGAGTCTATGCTGGTGCTGAAAGTCCCGCCTACTTACATAAACACCAGCATACTGTCAATTGTCACATAACTGATTACAGCTAAGTATAAAAAATAAATAAAAATGTGAAACATCCATGAGAAAACATGTATGAGATTCATCAAGGGCCGATGTTTCGTATGTTTACTTGGAGGGGCGGCATTTAAAGGTGTGGCTCACTCATGTAACTGATGCAGCTGCAGTGGTCTCTAGCAGGAATGAAGGCCTTGTAAGTTGTACTATGGATACAAAAAGCCCCGGTGCGCCTGTTTCAGGATCTTGAACACTACCAGATCAGAGGATGGATTCAGATGACAGGATTTGGAGTCTTACTTCCTGATATTTGGACATCTCACCTCTGATTGGCCAACAGCAATGCAACTCTACAACAGCCTTCCCAGTGGTGAGTCAAGATGGGTGAGTCCATGAATGTGAAGTGACAGTGTGACATAGATATGTCAGGCTAATGCAGTTAATGCAGGACGTAGGTGTAGGAGACTATTTTCATGTTCAGCCTGCATTTAACACCCAGAGTGACCCGTTAGAATCAGGAATACACATTTAAAAATGTTTATTCAATGGACCACGGGTTTTAGACTTAAACAGGAATCAGCCACATGGTGGATGACCTAGCCGATGCGTAAGTGGTGCGTAATGGAACAGACGTAGGTTACCCTTTCAATGGCTGCAAGGTCCAGTATGCTTCTGAAATCACGGGAGAATTGCAACACAACACGTGATTTCAGGAGTACACTTGATAAGAAGCAAGGAGAAAGACAGCAGCAACCTGCTTACCTCTGCTACAAAGGTTTCACAGGAAATAACGTACACGTTTTACTTGTTCGGCAACTGTGAAGCTGAAGGTGACTTTTGTTTTGAAAGTTTCCAGATGTTTTACTTGAAGCGTGGTGCCTACAAAACAGACTCGAACTGTAAGCTTAAGCTGCTTCCACCTCATCGCCCTCAGGATGCTGTGGTGATGTTCTCAAGCAAAGGCTCAAACCTCTGAAGACCCTAACCCTAGCTAACCCTCTTTCATACGATGCCTACCGTTGCATTTAGGCATGGAAAATCATCAGCTACACACAGACACCAGCTGGACTCACAAGTAGTTTGCCAAGTTGTGCTCCTGCAGAGTGTGCGTTTCAAAGCCATGCGGTACCGTGTCAAAGTAGTCGTTTCCTATTCCACAGATGAAACATTTCGTCTGCAGGAGAGAAAAAAAGTGCATTAGAAGATGTTAATGAAACAAAATAGTTATGAGATGTTATCTGCTGGGTATAAAACTGGACGTCTTAATAGGATGCCAGGTAAATACACTAACTGTGGTGCAAACATAGCACTTCCCGTAGTTCTCATAACACTTCAAGATACTTCCCTGTACTCGTGTATCCATGTATCCTCACACAGGTGAAGTAGAACAATGAGAATATTGTGCAAAAGTACATTTATGTCAGTAATTCAACTTGGACGCTGAAACAAACCTACGAGACGGACTCGTCGCGTGCAAAGCCAGATGTGTTTAACTTTTTCATTATAGTTGTGACAATTATGGCTCACAGCTTTCCAAAGGTTCAATCATCTAAACTCAAAGTGTCGAACTAATCAGCTAATGAAGCCAGACAACCTGCAGCGGGTTGTGGAGCAGAAGTGAAGTTTAACACATTTTTAATGTAACGCCGGGTTCATGATCAGAATCATACACATCTACACTTTGTCCCATAATCGAAGAGCTGTAGGATCGTTCCCAGTTTCAAGTAAGTCTCAAGTCGTTATCCTCAACTTCACATCGAGTCTCAAGTAAAATACAGCAAATTTCGAGTCAAGTCTCAAGTCTGACCCTTCAAAATGCAAGTCCCTTTGACTGATTTTTTAAACATTGCAATTGTATATATAGACCATGTGTTTTTCGTTAAAGTCTGTACTTATTTCAACCCAACACCTCTGCACTGAACAGTCAGTCAAACTTAGCCAGTAAGAATAGTCTTCATTTAAAAGGGCCTTTATGCTGCACCTTCTAGCACGGCGGGTCGTCCATAGGGGATGCCAGGGCACCGCCCCATCAGTCTCACAGGAAGAGGAAGAAGAAGATATGAATCACAAAATATAAAATGATCTCTACATCACACAGATTATAGAGCTCCGGACCCCACGTGACTCTCAGTTAGTGGACGCCATTTTGGCATGCAAAAAAGGTAAACAAACACGGATGTAACCATGAACATGAACGGGATCCGCTTGGATTTTACTTCGTCGGAGTTTACTTCACACTTTAAAACAGAAGAAATCGTTTTATATAGTCAGAAATTAAATAGACTGAACATCTCCGACCCTTACCGTGCCCCTGGGATACTTTTTAAAAACGCCAGAAGCTGTCGGAGCGGACTTCTTACCGGCACAACACCGGACCTGGCCGGGGAACCCCTTGGGATTCCCCCGGCCGGAGGAGCTGGGGAGAAGGTCTGGGACTCTCGACTCTACTGCCCGCTCCGACGCCAGAAGCTGTCAGAGCGGGCTTCTTACCGGCACAACACCGGACCTGACCGGGGAACCCCTTGGGATTTACCCGGAGGAGCTGGCTCCGGCGGCTGGGGAGAGGGAAGTCACGCTACTGCCCCCGCAACCCGACTCCGGATACGCGGATGAAAATGGATGGATGGACGGACAAATAACAGATTTACACGTAAGTAGTCTCGGTGAGACAGATAATAGCAATCCAAAGTGCTTTTTATGTGTGATCTGACAATTGATCAACCATTGCTTATAAGTTAAATACAGCTTAGCCGGTTAATTGCTGTGATCATAAAACACGTAAACGGCAGCACGCAGAACTCACGAGGCAACGTTTTACGTGATGTTTACTTGCTGCTATGAGTAATGAGACGGAAAAAGCCACGCCAAAATAAGTTTAGGAAGCCCACTAAGAATCGTAATAAAAGCATTTAAAATAAATACCATACACAGTTGAGGAAACGTTGGTTTAAGTACCTGATATGAAGCGGTCGCTGCATAAGTGAAAACCTTTACTCTCGGGATCCCACAGTTTCATTTTAGCCCAGTCACTAGCGCGTTTTATTACAATGATCCAACGTTTGCGGCGCTCCGGATCTTGGGGAATCCTGTAGATGGCTCATTCCTTATGTCGTCCGCGTCTGTTCTGCATCCTGGGGCACAACAGGAATCTACCATATTTCCCGTTTGATTGAGTTTTCTGACAATAACAAATAGTCCAGCTGCGGGCTTCTGCCTGCCAATATGGCGCCATTTTGATTTGAACTGTTGCATGCCGGGAGAAGTGACGTCAACTCCCGGAGCTCTATACGTGCTGTGTATAATCTACATTTAGGTGTAATGTAAAAGTGTTATTTCACACTTTTACCACGACTGGCAGCTCTTGTGACGTATTTCCTGTTACTTTTGGGCACAGCAGTCTCAACCATAGACCTATGCTAACTGGCGCGAGCGCACTGGATCCCCCCCCCCCCCCCCCCCCCCCCCCAATAGAAAGAATAGGAGAGCCTTTGGGCGCGGCACATCGTCCTTGAAGACACGTGCAGAAGACCAGCGGGGCAGAGTCTCAGCTCAGGTCAGGACAGAACCGGAAATTCTCCACAGTTCACCGTCCTGTGTTGCTGTAGAGCAGCTGAGGACACCTCGTGGAGTTTTGTTGTTATGAAGAACCAGACACTGATGGAATGTGGCGTCGGAGACTCGTAAACACTCCAACAGGTAAATAAAACCCAGAAACCAGAAGTCAGCTCAGTGTGGTGTTGGGACGTATCGAGGAGAGTTTGGACTTTAAACGGCGACATCTGTGGCTAGCATCATGTTTCATTGTTGCTACTGTGTGGTTTTCTTTATATGTGTATTTTTTTCAGCCCCTTTATTTTGCGTCATTGTTGAGGATTTTTTTCGCTGTCCCCTGGTCTTCTCAACACCAGGTCTCCGACCATTTTAACCGTTTGCACCATATTCTGGTTCTTCTGAGTTTCACATTTATATTTGCCAATGTTCTACATCACAGTTTTGTTGTAGGTCTTTACCTCCATATCTTCCTTAACTTGTTCCTGCTGGTCCCTCAGTTCTCCGAAGGCATCAATGATCAGACCTAAAGGGTCACAGGGCATAAGAGGGGGTGAAGGTAACCATCATGGGCCTTCCATACATTTATGGCACAATTCTAGACAGACGATCTACAAGGAAACAATTGCTTTATCTGTGTCTTTTGTTTTCCAGCAACAGTCATCACTTCACTGTTAAACGAATAAAGGACCTATCCACACGACCCCAGAAACTTCTAAACACTGACATTGTTTTTCCTGCTGAACTTGCACCTCCGACCTACACAAATGGAAGCTTTTCAGCCTTTTTGTCAGGACAATGTGGTTAAAGATGTTTAAAAGAATGGGGATAAAAGGTCTAGAGAGGGCAGGGTCTTTGTGTGTGTGTGTGTGTGTGTGTGTGTGTGTGTTTTCCTCTCACCCTGGATGATGGCCAGTAGGATTACAATGACGAAGAAGAAGAAAGTGATATCAAAAATGATGCGATAGATCTCATACTCATCACCAGCTGGGTCCTCTATTTGGTCACCAATGCCTCCCCCGGCTCGCACACCAACATACATGTGGAACATGTAGCACTGCAGAAGAGAGGCACAGAAACAAAACTCAGAGAGGTGAAAGGGACTGGAGAACTGCTTCTTATGGCTCGGCTCACGGAAATGAGCCAGCTCTTTCGGCTTTTAGATGGCTCCTCAGATTTTTTTTTATCACCAGAAATGACACAAAACTGCAGTAACTGAATTACTGACGCCTATGGTTTAAAGATGAACTATGTAAGAATTAAGTAACAGTGACACCCTGGCAATTTCAGTTTCTCTGAGTTGCCAGATAGCAGGAAACTAAAGTTGATATGTTTTAATAACCATGAAGTACTGTCTGTGTTTTCAAAATTTTTAACTACTCTCTCTCTCTCTCTCTCTCTCTCTCTCTATATATATATATATATATATATATGTATATATATATATATATATATATATATATATATATATATATATATATATATATATGTATACATACACTATACCATACCAAGTTTATTTCTGTAACACATTTTAAAACAGCATGACAACTGACCAGAGTGATCAGCTAACCAAGACGCAACAATGATCAAAGAAGTTAAAAAAAAATGAAACAGATACAATTATAAAATCTGTGTTAAAAAGCAAGATTATACAATATAGTAATATACAATATAGTAATATATAATGTAGTGAAGATAAAATAGGGCAACGTTAGAATCACAAACCTAACACGTGTATTAACCTGGATGTTTTACATCAGAACATGTTTATTATACAATGAATACAGAAGGAATGATTTCACTTGGAGAATCACAACAAAAATAAAACATTCTGTAATTGTATAAGCAACTGCACAAATTTAGCTAATTTGTACTGCGGAACCAAATGAGGAACTGAATCTCCATGTTGGCCTGGAGACTAGGGATGGGTACCTTTGACATTTGAATCGATCCAGTACTAATTCCCGGTACCTACGAATCGATACCGGTACTTAACGGTACCAATTTTCGATACTTTTGAGTGGTTAATATTTTAATTCTCTTTTATAATTAGATACATATTTTTCTCAATATATAACCATATTTGATAAATATCACGATAAATAACATACAACTGTTTGTATTTTAACATCGTCCTTGTAGTTTTATAAGCTGATAATTAAACTGAAGCAAACATCTTTACTGTGAACTAAATTTACTGTGTATCTTCATTCCTTTTGCCTCCTTTTTCTTTTGATTTTTCCTACTGGGAAGTTAGAATTTCCGAGGAGAAAGCGAACGCACCATTAGCTGATAACAACGGTGGCATAGGAAGCTAACATATCAAGCTAACTTTATCTTTAACAGTTTATTTAACTTCTGGAGCAGATTTAAACGACGATGCCGCACACTTAGATCGTTGTCACTGGTTTCATCTTCACCCAATCACCCGTCGCATTTAGTAAAGTGAAGCCAAACTTTAGAGCGCGTTCATGTTCTTATAGTCGGAAATTCGGAGTTCCGAGGAGAAAGCGAACGCACCATTAGTGAAACGGAAGCTAACATATCAAGCTAACTTTATCTTTAACAGTTTATTTAGCTGCTGGAGCAGATTAAAACGATGATGCCTCAAACTTAGATCGTTGTCGCTGGTTTCATCTTCACCCAGTCACCCGTCGCATTTAGTGAAGTGAAGCCAAACTTTAGAGCGCGTTCATGTTCTTCTAGTCGGAAATTCGGAGTTCCGAGGAGAAAGCGAACGCACCATTAGTGAAACGGAAGCTAACATATCAAGCTAACTTTATCTTTAACAGTTTATTTAACTGCTGGAGCAGATTTAAACGACGATGCCGCACACTTAGATCGTTGTCACTGGTTTCATCTTCACCCAATCACCTGTCGCATTTAGTAAAGTGAAGCCAAACTTTAGAGCGCGTTCATGTTCTTCTAGTCGGAAATTCGGAGTTCCGAGGAGAAAGCGAACGCACCATTAGTGAAACGGAAGCTAACATATCAAGCTAACTTTATCTTTAACAGTTTATTTAACTGCTGGAGCAGATTAAAACGATGATGCCTCAAACTTAGATCGTTGTCGCTGGTTTCATCTTCACCCAGTCACCCGTCGCATTTAGTGAAGTGAAGCCAAACTTTAGAGCGCGTTCATGTTCTTCTAGTCGGAAATTCGGAGTTCCGAGGAGAAAGCGAACGCACCATTAGTGAAACAGAAGCTAACATATCAAGCTAACCTTATCATAAACATTTTATTTACCTACCGGAGCAGATTAAGATGAGGATGTCTCACTTAGATCGTTGTCGCTGGTTTCATCATCACCCAGTTACCCATCACATTTAGTGAAGTAGACCCAAGCTTTAGCGCGTTCTCTCTACCATGCTGCTCTGTTTACAACTGGCTCGCAGCGACCGACGACATAACGCTCTTGCGCATGCGCAGCTGTCTAGGCAAGTTCTCGTTGTGAAGGACGGGTACCAAAAGGAGGCACCGTTTCAAATGAAGTGAGTCGGTGCTCGGTCGGTACCTTAAAAAGTACCGAATTCGGTACCCATCCCTACTGGAGACCCCGAGATTCCCTCATAGAAGCTGGCAGTAGCACCCCCGACGAAGGAGGTGTGGTCTGTCGATCGACAACTGCTTCCCCAGCACGACTATCCACCAATCAGGAGAGGATGGGTGGAGTCTGTATTGTGTCTGGAATGATTGTGCTGGAGGTAATACAGCATACAAATCTCTGGTGTGATACTTATACTGGGTAAAGGTGGGGAAGGTGTAGGAGAGTGAGGCGTGATTAAAATCCCCACTGATGAGAATGAGCACGTCTGGATGAGTCGTCTGCAGCGTCTCCACAGAACTCTGGAGCCGCTCACCTGCAGTGACTGCGTCAGCCGAGGGGGCGCACACCCTAAATGCTATTACATGTGAAAACTCTCCCAGCATGCAATAGGGCCAGAAACCAACAGCCAGGAACTCGATGTCTTTTGTTCAGAGTGGTTGTTTAATGGTCACCGGGTTGCACCATCTCTCCTTAATAAACACAGCCAGACCCCCGCTCCGCGCTCCTGTCAGCCCGCGGGCGTTTAAATCCTTCCAGGGAAACCTCAGAGTCAGCTATGAGCTCATTCATCCACGTTCCCGTGAAGAACATCAGGCTCCACCGGTTGTAGTCCCGCTGCAGCCTGGTCAGCTCCAGGAGCTCATCGATCTTACTGGGCAGAGAACGGACATTTCCCATAAGCGCGGAGGGTAAAAATGGTTTAAGCCTCCGTTTTCTCTCCTGGAGATTACGACCTGCTCTGCAGTCTCTACATTTTCTCCTTAGTTCTGGGGGCAGAATCTGTGGAGAAGAGCGCCAACAGCTGATCCCTGGTGTGAATGGATGGAGCCAGAGGAGTTTCCCAGTGGGTTCCCAACAAGTTCAGAAAACAGTAAAAAATAAACACAAACGACACACAAAAGTACTCCTGTGTGGAGGGAACATACGCCCACAATAAGGGCATAAAAAACACGCAAGACAAGACAAGCAAACAATAAAGAGTCCAGAAGCAACAGGCGCTGTGACTGCAGCATTGAGCTGATGAAAAGATGGTTTTAGAAGAAGTACATTTTTTATTTGCATTTGCACATTTTGTTTAATAAATGTTTAAAGCTGTTTAAATAAAAGTACAGCATTTTTTGTATTTGGTTTGGTGGCAGCGCTGGTGGGGCCTCTGGTAAAGCTTGCATACGGCACCACATGGTCTGGGATCAGCCCTGAAGTCAGGTCCAGGTCCAGGAAACTCTCTAGACCTAAATCTCACTGAGAATTTGTAGTTTATCCTTCAGATGCAGGACAAGAAACATGACCCAACTGATTAAGAGACAACAGCATGCCATCGGTCACAAGTTGGACCAGATGTTGACTGACAGCATGTCACGGTGAACTACAACAGTCTAGAAGATGAAGGACCACCTATCACTGAAAATATTCACTCTTGTCAGCAACTTTTTTAAAAAGGCAGTTAAAAGTTGGGACTTTGCGATCCTGTAGGTCTACCATAGAAACATTTGACAAAACTTCTAAAAACTCTGAAGCAGGCTACACGTCCAAGTGTCCTTAGACAGGATCCTGAACTCTGAACATTGCCCTCAGGAACTGTACAGCAGGACAGTCCACTGGCTCCCAGTAAAGGGTCAGAAGCAGGGAAAACAAAGTACCAACTACTATTGTTAAGCTGGGTCTTTGTTTGAACTTGTCTCTGTCAGTAAAACCATCTAAAGCTTACTGTGAAAGCAACACTTTGAGTCTCAGTGTTTGGTCACAGCTGCACCTTCAGCTCAGGTAAGACTGGCCACCAGTAACAGATGCATCCTTGAGCCGATAAAACAACAGAAATGTGCAGATGGACAGATGTCACACATGCTTAGAAATTATGTCTGAATTCAAATGAACAAAATAAAGAAGAAAAACATCTAAATTCACGCAAATGAAGTTTAAAGGAAAGAGAAGAATAATGAGGACTGATAGCAGACATCAGCTAAGAACACCTCTCTTGCTTCGAGACTAAAGAAAACTGGAGTGTTTTCATCACGGTGTCCTTCCATCCTCATGAGCCCGTCACCTTCCTGGCATCATCTGACACCATTTGCCCCTCAATAGGAAAACAAGCTGGGTTCTGGGTGGCTGACTTGCAGGGATTAGAGAGTGTCTGGGTTTGTCCAGGGGACAGAGGGCTTCCCACCAAACTACAGACCCATTCCTTTTATAGACACTGGCAGTTTCAAACAGCTGATTAAAAGCTGTTCTTGTGTCTGGTCTCCACATCAACATCACTGTGTCACTAACCTGCTCTGGTGCTTCTGCCTCCATTTTTCTATTTGAAGCTCTATGAAAAAGCTTTACAAAGGCCCCAGGATGGAAGCATTAAATCCACCCCATCACTGTAACACGGCCTTTAGTTTTAGACTTCAAAAAGACGCACACAAGAATTACAGCAGCATCTCAGCTGGAGCGCCAGCTCAGCCTGCAGGTGAACTCTGTGTAGGGTGAAAGCTCTGATCTATGGTGCTCTGCCCATATTTGG